TTCAAAATTTATGTTGCTCATCATGGTGCTCGACGGGTCACGAAGTCATTCCGGAAAAGATTATCTCGACATATAGAATGAGTGTCTTTTCAGCAACTTATTCGGAGCGGGGGGGCAACAGGTGTTTCTGTTATGGGCTCATATGGGAAATATCAAATGGGTGGTGGCGGGCAAAGACATGCGTTGCTATTGTTTTGCGGCAAATCTCCAAAGCTTGGAAACGGTACCGGGAAATACCTTTTTGGGAAAGGTGGAGTTGGTCATGAATTTTGGGTGCGGCCTGCTGGCGAACCTCTGCATTGTTACCTGTCTTGGTTGAGCGATGCGGACGGGGATCGCGCAGTCCTTTGTTGCTTTCTTGCGCCTCTTCTCTCATTTCATTATTCGAGGATGGACTATTCTTACTACTATTGCTCGATATTCCGGCAGTGCAGGTCTAGCACCTCGCGACACTGGAAACGGTTGGTGGTGGTGGAGTCACCTTAACTGGGCACTTTCGCGAGCATCTCTGAAGAGTTGTGTGTTTCTTGGGTAGCGGTTTTGAGACGATAAATGGCTCTTGTGGTTTCTGGGTCGGAGAACGGGATACCTTTTGGGGTTGTACAGGAAACGCTCAAGATGCGAATGGTGTTGAAAGGGATTAGACCAAGCTGTCTGATCTTGTGGCGCGAAGCCAGCAAGGCGCAATGCAATATACGATATGTTCATCAAAAGTTGTTTCTCATGAGTGACATCCAGTGACTGCTAACCATCATAGCCAGTGACGAGTTCTTTGTGGGTCTCAAATTATGGTGATGAGATAGACACTCGGTGAAACACCAAATGCCACCAGTGGGATTTGACATGTTTAACGGCATCAGGTACATCTCACGACTGTCAGAATTAAGAGATGACTACATGCCGGCCTCATGCTTCCTGCATATCCCCCTCCTGAACCGTGACATTCGCTGATGTATTGCGGGATATCATAAGACGGCTTCTCTGGAGATGCGTGAGATGGGATGGGTGCATCGGACATAGATTACCGACCTGCACTTCCCTCGAACCCCCCTTTGTTCGCCGAGAGAAGGGGACGATGGAAGGGGGAACAGAGCTTGAGCTGAGAGCTGAGCTCGGTAACCGTAAGTGGATAGGGGTTGAAGGTCGGGTCATTTGTGCGGTAAAGTCAAGCACGGAGGATGTCTGGTTGCGTTTTCCCCTTGTGTATTACGAGGTATGATTCTGTAGAGCGCCGGTATCTCTGTGGAGGGCGGTAAGGACAAAGGGAGATGGATGGATCTCACTTTTTTTGTGTTTTCTGTATTCGTTGGCATTTTCTGTTAGAGCAGTCAGGAGGAGGTGGAGGAGGCGGTCTGGTGTGCGGCGTGCCTGGTGCCTGGGTCGCGGCCCGGCTTCATTCTGGGCCTGAGGTGCCTTGCTTACCCGCCGCTTGAGTTTCTTCATGTTGCCGAGAGGGGATGGGAGGGGGTTGGCGGCGATTGAAAGCTGCAGGGAGGCGATGAAGGTGAGGTGAGGTGAGGTGACCTGCGGCTTGATGCTACCTGATGACTTTTGAGGATTGCTATAACCATTACTACTATTCCTCTTCTTCACAGCTACTTTACTATGGCGTGGACGGATATGATGGCCATCATCGTGGTCTGGAGAGTGGGAGGTGGGGAAGGTCATGGTCACGTGATGAACTTGGTCTTGATGAGAGAGGTGGGGAAGCCAATGATGACGATGCAGCTGGGCAGCAAAGCACGGAGCGTGGACTGGTACGGAGTAAGGTAGGTATCCGTAGGGTAGAGTGAAAGAAAAGCCCCGTCATGGGCATGGCTCTGTAGTGGGGTTATGCCAGGGGTAAACGGGGGAATTAGTGCTTAGAGGTTTGGACACAGCTGGTGGGTGGTGAGGCTGAGGAGAGGAAAACGACGATGGAGAACTTCAAGCATGTTTGACCGATGACGACGAGTGTGAAGGAAAAAAAAAAGACCTTCCATCGCGGGTTCCAACTTAAGTTGAGCGACAATGCTTCATTGATGATGGGACTGCAGGCTTGCAAATGGTCGACAGGCAGTTGGTCAATGGCCCCGCCCTCCCTCCCCTCGTCTTCTGCAACTCTCTCCTCTTCCCATTCTAAACGGGCAATTTGCGGGGACGTAGCGATGCTTCCAGCCATTCGGGTTGCTGCGCTGCTGCAACCAGCTGGGGAAAGGGAAAAAGCTCGGTCCTGAGGAGATGTCACTATTGGGAACGAATAGTGACGTCACGGCCGGGTCAACGAAGCAGCGCGCCGCATGCTTTTTGGCGGCTGCTTCCATCCCCGTCTAAGGTAGCTAAGTAGTTTAACCTAGGTTATTGCTATGCTGTAGGTGAATCTATTCCTTCTTGAGCTCCTTACCGAATTGTCGTGGTTTTCGTTCCTCCTTTTAATACCTCACTGGCTATCGATTCTCTTCCGTTCAATTGAATCTGCCTGCAAACACAATACGATAATTCAACCTACACCGTGATACCCCCTCCTCTTCCTCTACCACAGATCAAAAAACCGAATACCTACACAGCAATGGCTTCCCGCATCGCTCTGTCAGCTCGTCCTTTCGCCCGCGGCGCTTTCGTCGTCGGTAGACAGACTGCTTCTCTCGGTCGGGGCTTCAGTATCTCCACGACGAGAACACAGGGTCTGAAGGAGTCTTCTGGACGTGAGTTTTTATGCCTATTCTCTTTCCGCTTGCTTTCCTTTTTTCCTCCGGCGAAAGGACATATGACAATCGAGCTTGGAGTGATGTCGCAAGCTTCGATGACGCCTTCATTACAACCCCCCCCCCCCCCCCCGCCCCAATCCATCACCAGCCACGAACCCTGTGTTTTCGCGATGGCAGCTAACACTTTTCCTTTCAAAGACACCGACAGCGAGACGCACGAGAAGCACAAGCAAGACTCCCTCTCCAAGCAGAAGCAGGGCAAGGGCCACTGGAAGCCCGAGCTCGCCTCCGACAGCGAAGAGGCCATCAAGGCGGATCGCGACGAGCATCTCGACCCCAAGAAGTTGCAGGAGCAGACGGCTGGCAAGGGATCATGAGCGATGCTTGTCGCCCCTGTGTCGCCGCACCTCGCCTCGCTTTCCTCCTCAACGGGGGGTGTAAGAGGTAGGAATGGGACCGAAGCAGAACAAAGTATGCCATATAGCTTTTATGAGCAGACACACAGGAAACAGATACATGGTGTCTGCGGGAGTTGTTCAGGGCTCTTTTGGGCCGGGATCGGCTGTTGATGAAAATGCATGCGGGCTGCGTTTGGGAGAAGGCTTGAGGGATTTGTCAATGTAATCGTATTAGCATCGTTTCGGGACACTAATTGATTCTTGTCCACATCCACTTCTGAAAGGTCTGTCAATGGCGTCTCGAAAGTGATCTGAGGCGCTCGCACAGGATTGAAGTGCTCGTCTGATACCAACGAGCCAGACCTGACGCCTTCGTCCCTGCCCTTCCTTTGTTATTTGTAGCACTTGCCTTTCTCGTAGTCTGAGTGACCGCATGGTTCTTCCCGTGAGACTGTCGCCTAGTTTCTCAATTATTACAAGTAAGCGAGTTTTCGTCAGCTCAAGCTGGACGCCCAACCATCGTGCCCTGCTTCACTTCAGAAGATGTCGGGAAAGGACGTGAGGATGCATTACCCAAGACGGCGACTCTCTCTGGTTTGTCAGGTAATGTTGCGGACTCTGAGACACTATTCCTCCTGCTTACTTTCCGTGTATACTCTTACGTATATAAGGAAAGTGATGAGAAGGTTGCGATATTAGTAAATGGTAGATATCAGACTGTAATTTAAAGATCGAGGTGCTGCACTGCAAATTAGCTTCAAGATTTCATCCGTGTCTTTGCACCCAATCAAAGCCTTGTTTAGTTGGAATGGGAATCTGACTTTGCGGACGATATTAGAAGACTGCCCAATTGCCGGCTTTAAATATCTAAGGCGGTAGACACAGACGATATTGGCCTTCCCTCTAGTCAGCACCGGCGTGATTGCTACTCATTGCCTTTAGGATGTATCATTAGCTTCCTAGCCGGTCTCATCAGGCTTGAGAGAGTGAGAGGAGTATGCCAGTAGGTCTCCTCGGATTTTTGAAGAAGACAGTCCATCCTTTACATAATAACACATTCAAGCCTGGTGCTGATGGGAGTCAAATAACAATGGCCCTAGAAAATGCCAGCCTGGCCCACCATGACTGTCGCAGTCCTGAGAGTTCAACGTTTGTCTCTGACCTGCTCTCTGGCGAAATCAACCAGAGAGGGTATCGATACATGTGGGTTCTTTGATATAGCGCGCAGACCTTTGGTGTTGGACTTGCAGGTCTTGCAGGCGTGGTGGCGTAGAAATGGGATGATTGAGATCTCACCTTAGCATGAAGCTTGAAAGGCGGTCAGGCGATGGAGTAGAAAACAGCATATAGACGATAGTCACAGGCGGAACGAATTGATGATATGGTCCTTGAAGCCATGGAAGTCTATGACACTTTGTGGTCTAGTGACAATTATACAGTCCAGAAAGCCAAAGAGTCTATTGATACTATAAACGTTCGTAAAGTAAAGAGAAAAGTGATCCGTTTCTGATGGCGGATCTCCCTTTCCATTTAGCCTTATCTCTCTATTCCTCCCAGTACGCGTAGACAGCTATATGTACTGCGAACGTAGGATGCTGGTTTCTAATTAACGTGAAGGGCAAGGGGAGACTTGACTCAAAGGTTTCCATCATCATTAACGAGACACAGAAGATCAAAACGAAGTGACGGGAAAAGAGACTCAATACCATACAGGAACTCCCTTCCACCGAACCTCTGGCTACCCTTAAGTGGATAGCACAAGATTTATGGTAGGATAGAATCTCTGCCGGAAAGACGCGTTCTATCGTGTTTGCAAAGTGCTTCACCGACTCTCTCGCATGCCATGTACACTATCTCGGTAGACCCTTCCATTGCGCCCATGCTTGATCTGGATGTCTCGATCTATCGGTGTGGTCTAGTCTAATTTGGGATACTCAATAAACCCAACAGAGTCCACCTCCTCCCCAGACTCTCCGTGCATACCCACAAACGAGCGGCCCTCGCCCGGCACAAACGTAAGACACCGATCATTCGTCCTCGTCCCAACCTCCAGAACCCGGCCCAAACTAGTCGAAGCCCTAAAGAACCCGACGCGGTCCTTCTTCTTCTTCCGGCCGTTGCACACCTCCGTCATGACCCAGTACTCCCCCTCCTCCAGCGTCAGCTCCTTATAGTTGCCTCCACCGCCGCCGTGCTCCTGCGCCTTGTCGAGCCCGTCCATCTTGACGCCGAGCGCGTCGACCCGCGCGGCGCCGCGGCCAAAGATGGAGACGACGCGCACGCTGTCGAGCTTGGCGAGCTCGGTGCCGTCGTTAAAGGAGGTTGAGCTGCCGGCGGGTGCGCCGCGGTAGATATCTCGGAAAGTGAAGCCCACGTCGGCGAATTGGGAGAGGTCAATGTCGGAGACGATGGGGACGGTGGTCCAGCCCTTGGCGGCGGCGAGTTTTTGGACGAGGAACTCGGCGGCGGGTTTGGCGGAGGGGCGGTAGTCTCTGTGGCCTGGCATCACAGCGCCGAGGGGCAGACCGTTGCGGCTGCGGTCACATGGTGTTAAAGAGACCGTCTCAAATGCCTTCAGATGGAAAGTTGGGGAGGATGAAAGACTTACCAGACCGGGTCAAACTTGTTGCAAAACATCTGCACCCTTTCCGGTGCCAGACCGGGTATCGTGTTCTTGTTATACACCTGCATGGTGTTGCCAAACGTCACGGCGGCGACGATTCGGTCCTTGTATTCCGATCCAAGCCTGTCCGAGATTACGCGGGAGAGCATCGCAGCGCCTTGGCTGTACCCTCCGACGACGACATCAGAGTCGGAGCACTGGTCCATGTACTCGCGGATCTGGGTGCTCGCGCTGGTGACCTCGCGCGGCCGGCACAGCTGATTGTTGATGCAAAGGTTGTCTTGCAGCGTTGCGGCGTACTCTATGCCCTGGATGGCAATCTTGTCCGCGCCTAGGGTTGAGCGGAGGTACGCCGCGAGTTGGGGACCTGGTTGCAGTCCCTGTGATGGACGGAATCCTGTTACTTCTCAATGCGCTCAAGGTGAAGACACTACTGTGGCTTGGTGAGCTGGATTTTACTCACCATATTCGGCTGTTGAGTGCTTCCGCGGAGGAAGAAGAACATGGTATCCTTGCAGGTGCCATCGCGCACCTCATTCTCCAAGACACCTTTATCTGACGGATCCTGTTGTCGGGCTTGAAGAGAGTGTATGGATTGGCTTGATTCTTTCGTGTAGTCGCTTCGTGGTGTTACTCTTGCTAGGCCTGGCGTCAACACGCACTGCAAGGCGAGTATGATGGCTGTGGATCTCTTCATGATGATAACGAACGTGTTGTAATGAGCGTATATGGGTTAGTACTTGATCAACTCTTGCTCTCTTCCCAGGAAGCACCACTAAATGAACGGAAACATATTGGGAACTGTCATGTATAAAGACACTGGTTTCTGCAAGATCTATAAGCTAAGTTTCCTGAAGCTTGGACTGTTCAAAGTGGAATCGTCAATAAGAGCGAGTGTTTTTCCTTTCGCTTCAGCAATTAATATTAAGGAACACCAAATGAGCGCCAATGTCTCTTCAACCTTAATTGATTATATACAAGGGCCATACCTTAAATTGTGGACGAACCGTGTTGGTTTCATTACTTTACCTGTCGGGTTGTCCGGCAACTCCAGGGCTGCAGCTCAGAGGGATCGGACAGCCGTGATGTGCGATCTTAGACTCACTTCTGCCCTAGAGAGGCCATGCACCGAGTGGTTCTAGGCTGAGATCTCTCGCCCTGGTTATCGGTGCGAGACACTTGGACGGAGAATACTAGTCTATTTCTCTATTCTATAAGATAGTTAAGTACTCGCTCGTCGCCTTTACTCAATGTTGGTTCTCTGGTCGATCTGCTCATTGTGTAATAAAAAAAAAGTGTACGGCCGAGAGCTTAGCTTTGCCATATAGACAAAGAAGATAGGCTCTTGATCGGGGACTATTAAGAAGTCCCGTGGGTTCTCCCTGACGGCGTGAAAGAGGACAATTCCGCGATTGGCAACATAGTTCTGGCAAAGAGTTACGTGCTCCCTTCCGTGGAAAGGCTCATTGTTGCCGAACAGCTTCAGGTAGACGGCATTGGCGCGACGATTGAACAGGGGACATCGCCTTCAATCTGGCGCCTTGTTTCGTGTTTACACCGTTAGTTATAGGAGCAGGTTGACTAGAGACGAGGTAGATGGAATGCTTTGAATACGATGGATGCTAGACCGACTTTGACAACGGCCAGCCATGATTATGGCGGAGTATTGGTTCACGACTTCGGAGGAGCTGCAGGTAATTCCGATCTGTTACCGTCAAGGACAGGCGAAGACCGTACATGTTTGGCGCATTCGGTCAAGCAACTCGGCCATGGAGTCTACGTACAATTCACGGGCGTGGCCAAGGCTAAGGTAACGGGCGAGCTGGCAGAGAAGTTCGTCAGGACCTTCGAGACGGATAGAATGGATTGGATGGACGGGACCTGGTAAACCTTGGCCGCCGATTTTCCTATGATAAAATGTAGGCTTCGGGATAACATTGCGAGAAAAAATCAAAAAAATATTACAGCATGCTTTTGAGCTGAAAGTTCGGGAGACCTTCCTGGGGCGGCGGCGTCGTCTCTTGCCTCTATATCATGCCTATCGCCGCCAGCTTCTTCCAATCTCATCTACCACGCCCACACGCGAGGGATTCCTCCAAAACATTCCACAGAGTCCATGATGCAAGCAGCTTGATTCTCTCTTCCCGTGGCTTAGACTTCCAAGATCTCCTCAATAGGGCTGACCAGACGCGTCTACACTCACTTTATACTTGCTCATCAAGCGTCAAGCTTTGGCCTACTATCCACTCCATTGTCAATAAGAGATACAGAACTACAGATAGATGCTACTCAAACACATGAAAGTTAAAACGTGGAGTCGCGGTTTTTGCTCACCATCTCATCTCAAAGTACATTTCCACTTTCAGGATGACTCTTTCCTTGACTCACATAGCACACGTCGCACCTCGTCGCCCACCCGCGCACTTGCTACATCTACGCCAAATGGGCTGAGGCCCACAACCAACTATCACTGGATGCTCACATCCACACTTCCCCGATAGTCTAGTGGTGAGGATATCTGCTTGTCATTGGGGAATTCTTTCCTGACAACGATTCGCAGGGGACCGGGGTTCAATTCCCCGTCGAGGAGTTATTTTTGCTCTTTCTGCGTTGTGTTGCTTTTTAGAATTGATTTCGATGTGATTGACATTTGCTGTGGCATCTTGAACGGAAATTTGGACGTGAAGCAATATCAAACTTACGCTATGTGCCCTCAAATGTGTCTCAGGGCGGAACAGCTTTTGGTCTCAATAGTTTAGTATTTGAAGCAGGTCGGTCGGTATTCATTACATAGTCTGCCAACTGAACCGTCCCGTCTCATCTGCTCTAACAACCATACTCTTTGTGGTTGTGGCTGTGGCTTGTCTCGCATAAGCTCTACATCTCTGGATGGATTGCATCTGTTCTCCTCATCTCATACATCAGATCACGATTAATGATCCGGTTGTAATCCGCGTCTCTCCAAAGAAATCTGTACGATCCAGCAGCATACCAGGTTGGACATGCTGATATAGAATGGCAATACGACAATCTCCAACGGCAGACCCGTTGATGCGGATTCGCTCGCTCCGTGGTATGCGAACAAAACAGTTAGGCTCAAGATACATACGACCATACTTCCCAAGACAGTCAGCTTGACGCATCAAAAATTCTCATACATTGCAAATGACTTACTATGGCAACTTGACTTCATACTTTGCGACTGTGGAAAGAGTGAAAGACTGGTTGATCCGAACGAGTATGAGTGACAATCTTTCTAAATGGTCAGATTCGACTGGTCTCTTGGAACATTGGCACATCGTCGGGACTTACAGTAGACAAACCGCACCGTTGGCCTTGGGATCGTGAACGAAGCAGACGTGCGTCAGCGACGCAGTCAATAATGCCCAGAACCCGGCGTCATCTTGCCGGGTGTAACGTATGACAACTAACCAGCCGCCTAGCACTAGGCAAAGCAGGACTTGGGTCAGAAGATTGAAATCGAGCTGCCCGACAACTTTGCCAAGCATGCTGTCGTTTGCCAGCGTGCGCGTCTCAGTAGCGCCGCTGCTCTCAGACGGGACCGGGTGCGCCATCGCCCCCGAGAAAAGCGACATCAGTAGGTAGAGAACCAGAAACAGACCAGCCGGTCTGAATCTGACCATGGGACGAATCCTCGTGGAAATCCTGGGCTGGTCACGGGCTGGGATCTGCGAAAGAGCCTTGCGTGGAATTTGCCCCTGGAGCTCCCACTGTTGTATTGAAGTCCCATTCCCTTTGTCGGGTTTGGTCAATTCAACTCTCTCGTAGATGAAAGAAAACATGACGGCATACCCACTGACGCGAAGAGATTGAGCCAAGGAAGTACCCACTGAATAGTGGTTGTTTTGTCAGTTACGAGTTGCAAGACGCCAGTAGAAGGAGGATATGAAAACGGGCTAGGAACGGTCCTTCCACGTACGGTGCGCATTATCTGGCTTCTCATCCTTCCCTGGCTTAGGGATGGTCTTTGGTCCATCGGTCCGGATCTGGAGTTCCCCCTGGATCTTTGGGGCCATGGTCTTGTTGTCGAAGTGCATACCCGCACTTGGTTCTGGCATTGGCTTCCTTTGCGGTACACTACGTGCCTGTGCGCCATGAGCGGCTGCTCTGAGATCTTCCAAAAGTGTATCCATTCACACAGGCACATTCGTGAATGCGTCCAGGATGCCGAGTCTTCAAGGGCGCCAGATGGTACACGAAATGAAGAATGCCCTCATGAATATGTCTTTGAATCTTGTACGCTATTTGTTAGACAAGTAAGGAGAGAACGAACGATGCGATGGATGATGTAAAGTAAGGTAGACGATGAGTTTGAGAGTAGGGTCCCAGAAGTAAGGCAGATAATAGTGTAGCTACGCTGGTGTCGTGAAAGCCAGGTATGCAACCATCTCCACCGAGAGAGAGTTTTTTTTATCTGACGCGTGGTTGAATGGCAGCTATTCAGATACCCCAAGCACCCGCCCTGCGCGAGGCAAAAGGCCATGGCCCATAAGAATGCCGCACTGCATATCGAGGCGAACTCCTAGGCGGCGCGGCCAATGGTTCGCTCTCAAGCTGTGATCTATGCAAACTGGTAAAATTGTGGTAGCGCAACGGCCCAGGGATAGGTTTGACCAGTCCTAACCAACCCTTCCAGACGGGGCTGCGACGAGTTGACAGATATAAGATATAGTAATGGGCGACGCTGACGTTCCCAGTCCCAGCCTGACCATGCATGCACATAAGCCTTACGATGCCCGACTGAACCTGGCCCACGCAACCACCACCACCACCATAGCCACAAGTCCGGGATTAGAAAGTGCGCTTTTATCGTCAGCCTGTCGTTGCGCGATCTTCCATGTCTTTTTTTACATGCAAGAAACATCTCTCGACCATACCAGCCAGGGAAAGTTCACTGACGACGCGCGTGCCGGCGGGACGCTCCAGAGGGGCCGACAGACGTGGCAGCTTATGGTTAAAAGCACCGAGACATACAAACATTGACGAGTGCGGCTGTGAGACTGCGATATTCCAGTTCGGCCATGTGCAACGACACTCAAAATAGCAAGTTGAGTAGGATGCGGCGCTTAATCGCGACAGCTATTGCGGGAATGGTGTCTGTGATATCATCGCTATTCCTCAGGGACGTCATACAAGTATACCTCATTGAAATTTATGAGATGAGTACAAAATCTTCTACAGCTTTCGGTCATGAAAGGGTTAGTATTTGGATGGAAAGGAGACAGTGTCCAACCGACCTGCTAAACGAAACAAACAGGAACCGAGGCAAGAGCCTCATCTCTCAGCAGTCGTCTGCTTACTTATTTTCAACATTTACTTCATCTCGACCTACTCCTTCAACTTTCTCAGACGAAACGACCAGTGGAAGAATCGGATCGTTGCAGGCTTTTTCGTAGTTATCGTTGTTGCCGCATGCCTGAGAATGGAGGCGCTAGGAGGTAGCGAAAACAGCCTTGCGTATACGACCGCCACAGCGCCGCTTCTGCTCCCGTTGAGTCTTTGGTTCAGCGCCATAAGTCACTCAATGTGGGATCGCTGGTCGATGCGGCCTGGTGATGGGAAGGCGCCGCGTTGAAAGTCGCTCGGAGATCGTTACGCAGATGTGTGTACGAGGAAGAGGGATACAAAGGAGAATTATCGAGAGATATTGTCTGTCTGTACAAATAAATCTTCGTTCTCGTTCGAACCCTAAAGCATTGAAAACAGTCCATCAGCGAGTGATAGAAGCCAATCAACCAGCCGCATGCCTACTCCCGCAAAGCCGCCGAGTCCAACACATCCTCCGCCTCGCCAATCTTCTCAATTTTGCCCTTGGACAACAAGACCACGGCATCCCGTCCCGGCCGCATGCCTTTCGTTACGCCGCCCAGCCTATGCGTGATGGCAATGACGGTGTGGCCCTTGTCTGTGAACTCCTGGTGTATGATATCGCGTATGGCAGATTCGGTCTCGGTGTCGAGCGACGATGTGGCTTCATCCAATAGAAGAATCGGCATAATGTGTCGACCTTCGGCTCCGTTTGCTGATAGTTCGGACGTTTGGTTGATGGATTTGAGTTGAACGAGCGCTCTAGCTAGTGCGAATAGTTGCGATTGGCCGGTGGACATTTGCGGTAGGGAGGATAGTGGGCTGTCTAGGGTATTGCGGGTTTCCTCCTCAGATGGTGTGTCTCTGAGGTGAAAGTGAGATAGGAGGCCGACCCTCGCAAGGGCTGAGATGATGGCTTCATTTGGGAGAGAAGTCGAGGGCTGGAGAGTTGGTAGTTTAGCAGGGATCTCTCACGAAATTTGGACAGAGAATCGCACATCGAGATTGAAGCGGAGACTGGCATGTCCCAGGATGAATGAGTCTTGAGAAACCGTAATGAAGCACTTCTGTCGAATCAGAGAACGTGGCACGAGACGTAGGTCGACCCCGTCGATCTTGATGCTTCCAGCGTCCGTATCGAGAAGACGTAGGAGTGTGAGTAGCAAGGTGCTTTTGCCGCTGTTTTTCCAATGTGTCAGCCGAGACCGGGATATGCTCTCTGAATACAGCCACGTGCAACATACCTGCCCGTTCGACCGCAAACGATCAACTGTTGGCCTGGAGAGACCTCCAAGGTAATGTCCCGCAAAGCTACTGCGTCGGAGCTGCAAAGAGGGTCAGTCTACAGAGGCGGCTGCATTGTTGACAGTTGCCTTACTTGTATGAGACGGTGACCTTGTCAAATGCAACAGATCCAGATGGCGGCCACGCCTCCGTGGGCACAAAGTCCTCGTGCGGCTGATCCTCTTTCGGCGTATCAGCCTCCAAGGTCTTCAGGCGAGATCTGCCGAGCCATCAGTAAATCAGTTGGAAAGACAAGGAGGAAGAGACAGCATACATGGCACCTAGGGAAATCTCCATGTTCGTCCAAGATGTCACGAGGCTGAGAAGCGTCGTGTTCGCAACCAACACAATGTTCAACGCCATACCAATCTGACCGGCCGTCGTCGTTCCCCTCACAAAAACTGCAAGTGTGATGAGGCCGGTGGCAATCGCAGCAACCATGAGATCCAAAACGATGCCCAGCCACTGTTGAAGACATAAGAGGATGTAGGCTGGCTTCTGCGACTTATCAAGACAGACCACGTTGGCGTGCTCGGCTTGTTTCTCCCAACCAAAGGCTCGGATGGTCGTGACGCCCTCAAACTATATCGTTGTTAGTCGTCACGCACTTATACAGAAGGGGAGATGAAAGCGGTACCGATTCGAGGAAGCTCGAGTAGACTGCCGACTGGGACTCGAGATCTAGCAGACGCAATTGTCGCGAGGTGCGTAAGTACACCCGTTGCACGAGATACACAACCGCGGCGCAGAGGGGAAGCGATAAAGCCAGCAGCTTTTGTGCGCTGAATAACAGCACCACCTGTACGAGCAGCTTGAAGACCTCTGTAACCAATCATGAGTAATTGGAAGTGAGTCTTGAGTCAAGGAGGCTTACGATTCGATATGGACATAATGGCTGGCGGCAACTGCTTATCTACCAGTTGTATATCCTGGCTGAACCTGTAACGACTTAGCACATGCTATGGCTCATTAGGTAGGCATTGCGACGAACCGATTCAATGTAACTCCTGTGTCAGTGTTTGAGAAATACGACAGCGGAGCACTAATCTTGGTCAGTAGGTGTAGGAGGCAGCAGACGAAGTGAGTGAGAATGCACGAACCCAATGATAGTTGAGAGTAGGCGGCGGTGCAGTTCGATGCCGGAAGAGGGTGCAATCAGGATCTGGGTTGACCTTCAACTAGGTTAGTGTCAGGGTCAGCGATCTAAACTGTGCGTACTCACCACATCGTACCGCTGGTAGCGATCCATGCGAGTAAAGACGAGATGAGGTAGCCGCAAATATAGAATGTTGTCTGGGATACTGGCGCCTCTGTCCACTTTTGCAACCAGTACTGAGGGAACGTTACGAAGAAAGAGTATGTTGAGGTGCAAGCGAGGAGTAGTAGGATATGCTGAAAGCCTACAGCCCGGAAATAGTATTCTTAAGGGGGATAGCTGAGTTAGCATTCAAAAGATGAAGTAAGTAGAACATACCATAAAGAGAGATGTCTCCCGTTGCCCTGCTGAGATCAGAAACAGCCTCGGCCATCTTCAAATTCTGGCTCTGCACGGTCTTGTTCACTTGGGGCTGCTCCACGACCGTGTCGCTCTTCGAACCCTCAATATCAATTTCAACTGAGGAGTACTTGGGATGCTGCTTCAGACCATCCCAAGTCCCCTGATACGCAAGAGCTCCACCACCGAGAATAATCAGCTTGTCTGCGAACTTCAAATGCGCAGCTACAGACCGTTAGCCTTCGTACAATCTCTACTCCAAAGCAACGTAGGAGGCGTACTAGAATGAGTGACAAGGAGGACAGTCGTGCCCACCTTCTTGAAATAGCCTGCAAAACCGAGCAGATTCTCAACAACACAACTTTGCGTTTTACCGTCAAGTGCGCTGAAGCTATCATCTAAGATCACAATCTCACTGCGAGCATATACAGCTCGAGCAAGAGCCTTGACAGTTATAGTCAGTAAAGTGAGCCGTTTTAAATTTGACGCGACAATAAATATGGAGCGAAGAGAGCATGACGATGCAAACGTACCACTCGCTGCCGTTGTCCTCCAGAAAGGTTCAAGCCTCGACTTCCTATCACGGTGTTGTCTCCGCCGGGAAGTGCCAGGAGGTCCTCACCGAGACAGCATAGCTGAATCACCTCCTGATACCAGCTTGGCTCCTCGGGAGAAAATCCGCAGACTGCTTGTTTGAGAGTTCCGCTCGGCAGCCAAGGAGACTGCTCGCAGTATCCGATCCTCTTCGTTGACACAGATATCGTCCCAGAAGCTGTGAGAACCTCACCCAAGAGGGCTCGGACAAGCGTCGTTTTGCCGCACCCAACGGGACCAGAGCACATAACTATAGAACCCTTGTCAATGACGAGGTTGAGATTGCCGAGGATCGGAGGTTTCGATGTAGTGAGTCCCTGGATAGTGACGTCTTCTAAAGACATGGCGGGCGAAATGTTGACGAGGCTCTCTTCTGCTTTATCGAAAAGAAGTCTTTGGTCCTCTCGGGATGGCTCAGAGAGATATTGCTGAATTCGTTCAAAAGCCGCCAGCGAGCCCACAGCTTGCGGCACGATGGTCATAATCATGTTGGCAGGGTGCGTCACCAAGCCGAGTAGCGCCGTAGTTGTGAAGGCGGTCTCAACATCGAGTGCGGAGCCATTAAGTCTCGCTACGATCACGTACAGAACGAGCGTGAGAATGGGGGCGAAGATACCGAGAGCGTTTGCTACAAGTTGTCAGGAAATGAAGCCACGCATGAACATCAGACAAGACAACATACCACTTGCGTTATAAGCGACCATCATCCACCGGACTTTCTTGGCCATTTCTAGCTCCCAAAGGCGTAAGGAGAGGATCAGAGATTCCGTATGGTCTACGATCCCAAGCATCTTCAGACTCTTGACCGAGCCAAGCATAGACGTGGTCATGGCGATTCGGTTCTGAGTAGCTACGGACCAATCCTTTTGCTTGCTCTGGAGGTTCTTTGCCAGATATCGACTCACTCGAGAGCAGACTAAAGAGTTAGTTAATTCCCGCTCTAAGTAAGCATGCCCATATTGCAACTCACAAAAGATCATGACAAACGGAACCGCGCAAACCCATCCCACTCGTCGAGCCAGCATCACAGTGCCTATAATTACCTCGATGATCTGCGCCCACGTCTCGTGGAACATGGAAGCCGACTGAACCACGTTGTCTGCGTCTGTACTCATCAAAGTAACCGCCCTTGCATCGTCGTAGCCAGCAGACTGATGATTGAGCTGCTTGTTGTTGAGGAGACCAACAACAGCGCCCCTGATCATAATCTTGAGGCGGTTGAGACTGTGCTGGTAGGCAGTCCTCGCGATCTAGTGTGCGACTCAATATTGCACCGTACAGGGCCTCAGACGACAAGACTTACAGCCAAACCCACATAGACGAAGACAGCCATCGACACAACCAAATACCCTCCATCTTGAGATTCCTCGGATGACTTGCTGATGGAACGAATGACAGTACCGATGAGAACCGGCTGAGCGTAGCGGAATCCGATGAGAACCAAGCGAGGGATGATGGGTGCAAGAAACTGCGGAAGCATACTACGCAGCAGAACTTTGGGCAGCGTCATCTTTTTCTCGGGCTTGTCTGTGATGTTATTAACAAAACTCGACGTGTTGTGCTACGCCAGCGGACGAAAACAAAATGCGTACCTCTCTGATCCCATGCTTGTAGGGCTCTTTGGCGTCGAAGTTGCGATGACAGCTTGCTGTCCGTCATTGGAAGGCAATCTCCAGTCAGAATGTATCTATTCCCTCTGACGAGAATCGGATTGATCCATCCAAAGAACGTTCGATCCAAAATATTGGATAATTCCTCTGGAGACCACTGATCACGAGGACCTTGCAGGATCGTTTGCTTTCCTCGAAGTTCAACAACAAGAAGCACGCCCTTGATGAAAAGGCTCCCGAATACCGGAGCGACGATTATGGCGGACCCATTAGCAAAGACTCCCGTTCCCAAGTCAATCAAATCGCACCCCAACGATACAAGCAGATAGACAACAGCGAGGTCTGACGGTCTGACGGATCTGGTGTGCTCCAACAAGAGTAGCGGGCAGAGGCCCACGTATGCTGCCAAGGGCAAAATGGTAGAAGCTAGATTGAGCCCAAGTCGGGGCGTCGAGAGTGCTGTCGTAGCGAGTATGATTAACTGGGCCACAACTAAGATGATTGCGATGATCTAGCTTCAGTTTAGTTCGGTTTCCAGGAAACTGTATCACTCATCACTACGCACAACTTTGCCATGGCCGTGGTGTTCCGGAATGACCTTGATAGTTCCTTTGCGAAGCTTTGATAGACGGAATGGCAGTAATAGCATAAATAAGGCTGATGCCGCGGTCGACAGGATGAGCGAGTTTGAGAACATGATCGCTTGAGCTTAGCTCTCCGTCGGTCTCAGTCTCCCTTTTCCCTTGCGTCGGGTTCTTCTCTTCTTATCTGCGTCTCTGTACACTCAGAAGTAGCAGTGATTGAGGCAAGATAACAAAGACACAATCAAGAGGCTGAATTGTTTTTGTTTTGAGCGTCACGAGTCTTGTCAGCCGCGTGCCTTCCAGCCGTATTTGGTGAACAAGGGGTCTGGATTCCCTATTTAGGACCAACGACAGTAGGCCTCTTAGACCTGTTGGAGTGTTTTGGGAATGCAATGGCCGATGAGTTCCATTCACGGAGGAGTGCACAATTGGAGCGCTTGGCGAGGTTGGATACGATGTTATAGCGTAGGCAAGATGCACAAAGCATACGAGGTCTGTTTACTTGCTTGAAACCAACAGCTTCACTTCACGCGCGGCACAGCTGCAGTCGTCCCAATTTGACCCTGGTCACCTTCCCTGTTGGAGTTATAGGGCCGCGTCCCCTGCATGAAGTAATCAACGCTTTCCCGTTGGTGTCGGCAAGTCCGAAACAACAGACATGGCGCGAATTGCTTCAATTTTGTGCCAAATGTGTATGTCTGCGAACTTGACGATGCCGGTAAGCAGTCTTTCGAGCAGAGTACAATGCTTTTACAGCACACATCATTGCCGAATTTCTAACCAAAGCACTCGCTGCACCAAAAAGTCCGGAAATTGCTTGCGATGCCAAGATCCGCGACGCGATCAACACTTTCTTCATTCGAAGACTCTCAGGCATTTCTGCTTTCCGGTCCCTCAATCGTGTTGGACTGATTATTCGAGGGCCACTGTAACGTCTTGTTCAAGGTGTATGCATCTGATTGATGCCATTTCTCATGCCGTTCCTCGTAGCGACTTTTGAAGAGTCGGTGCTTTCTCTAGTAGTGCTCTCAATGAGCAGACTTTTTACTATGTTTCGCTGGCGCCGCTCAATTGAAGAGCGCCAACCATATAATCCCAACCACGCTGCCATCCGAGATCCTTCTATAGAATCAGCATAGACGACAAAGTTGCGCAATCTCAGCGACTCATCACTTGTCAAGAACCCGCGCCTTAACGAAGCGGTTGATTTGCTCCCGAGAGAGCTTGTCGTTGTACTGCTCGTGACAATCGTAAAACGAAATCAGCTCTTGTGTACAGTCGACCATGGCAGCGATATCAACGTTGCTCTCGGCCAGCCAAGCACCGTACCGCTGCACCCGGGTGAACCTAGCCTCCGGTTGCTTCTCTTTATCCGCGGGGTTCGGCGTTCCGGGAGTCGGAGGCAGTCCAGGCACTCGGCCTTGGGCCTGAGCTAACGCTGCGCTTGCAGCAGCAATACCCGCGGCGGATGGCGGGTTGGAACCAGACATGTTGGGCGAGGGTCGCAGAACCAATACCAGCAAGATTGCTGTGAGGGCAATCGTATGCGGTGGATATAGCAGCGGCAGATCCGTCATGTAGTGATCGTTGATGATGGACCAGCCTAGGGCGACGTCCTCCTGTGTCAAATTCAACTCCTGCTGGTAGTTGTTCAGGGTTCGATACGGTTGATGAACTATAAGCTGAGAGCTCATCTCGGATATCATGAAGAACTCGCACTCGCCGAGCTTCGAGGTGTCGAGACCGAGGAAATCGGGCCACAGGGAGCGAGCTTCACTGACGATCAGGCGAATATGCTGCGGGGACTCTTCCATCTTGCAAGCCAGATACAGCGCGGTTGCGACAACCAAGTACGGATTTGTTCGCCGGATTTCGACCTTGGTGTAAAAGCGTTTGATATAAACCTGGGCGGTGGCCATGGCCTGCTGTCGGACTACCATGCGTTTGCCGAGTCTATTGACCTCTGCGTGCGTGATTGAGTTAGTAGGTGGATATGATGTGAAGAAGTAGTGGGCAAGCTAACGCTGATTGAAGTAAATGCCCAGGTGCCGCTGTTGCGGGAGAGGAAACATCTGGACTAGGTCGGCATTGTCGTCTTCGAGCTTCTGGCGCACTGCTTGAAGTTCATCTTTGGAGAAGAGCCAGAAGCGACGCTGGGTTGACTCCCAGTAGTTGGCAGCCATGATGACCTCTCCCAGGCGTTTTGATGGAAGTCTATGACATGATTTGTGTCCGCAATGACCCGGAGAGGTTGGAGGAGATGCTGTTGAGGAGCAATGAGGCTGATGGGTGAAGTTGACGAAAAGGGTGGCTGCGAGGCTGGTGCAACATAACTGTGGCTGATGTCTCCCCGATAACGATAAGGCGGAAGATGTCCGTCCGGGCGGCCTCAGGGAACCACCTCGCTGGAGCTGTGTGCTGTAGCAGCGCTGGGAGCTCCCGGGAGCACTGCTAATTGGTGGCAGCTGATTGCCTCGCTTGACCCGCCAGTGGAACCCTCCCCTGGGTAGCCGAGCTTCTGACGCTGTGGCTCCGGCGCGAACCACTTGCGGCAGGCGGTGCTGCTTTTTCTTGGTCGCTGCACCTCGCGATCCTCCTACGTCAGTCCTTGTGACTTGCAGCACCTCATGCAAGCAAAGCCAGTCGCGACAACACCAACCCAACGCCGCCTTTGATAACCCGCCATGTCGTCGTGAGACAGACGCCCTCGATAGACCCCGCGCGATTTCCACCTCTCTACCGTCATTCGCCCTATGAATCCCGCGTCGAGACCGAGCCCTCGACTCTACTGACCCTGCGTCCTGATGCCGCCGCCGCCATGGGGGTAACAAATTGGGTTACCGAGCGCCAGATGGAGGTGGACGAGTCGCAGAACCAGCGGGATAAACGGGTCGAGGACCTCTGGAGGCAATTGGACCCCCAGGGGACGGGACATTTGGACTTTAAGGGGTTGCAGAAGGGGTTGAAGAAGATTGATCACCGTCAGCATCAAACTCTGCCCGAAGCTCCCGTGTGGCCTGGGTGCTGACGTTGCCCTTTAGCTATGAAAAATGCGGAAGATATGTTGCGGAGGATCATGACCGTCGTCGACACGAACGATGACGGTGTGATTCAGTATGAAGGTAAGCTGCGAATTGGGGGGCTATCGAAGCTACTGGCCGGGTTCCCCTGTCTTGCATTGGATATGATGTCGAGGACGGCTGCTGACCATGACCTCTCACCAGAGTTCCGTTACTTTGTCGAGCAGACAGAGAGGCAACTCATGCTTCTTTTCCAGTCTATAGACAAGGACCATGATGGGAGACTTGACAAGACTGAACTACAGGAGGCCTTCCGACGAGCTGGGCTGGTTGTGCCGATGCGCAAGCTCAGCTCCTTTTTTGGCGATATCGACATGAACAACGATGGCTATATAAGCTTTGAAGAATGGCGGTAAGTTTCTCAGCATTCAGTAGAGTATGTTGTGAGTCCTATGGGTGTTGTTGCCAGCCCAAGCCGCAAAGCGAGGTGTTGAGTGAAGGGTGGCCGATTACCCAGCATATTTGGGAAGGTCCGGATCTAGGTCAGGGGCACCACTCCACGGTGGCCGGCCGTGATGTTCTCGGTGTGGCTCGGTGTACAGGTGTATACCTGAGGTGGGCGAAAGGCGTTTACGATGGACGCCCCGGTGCCGTTGTCGGGTTGCTCCTTCCTCTTTTTCTTCTCGGAAAAACCTCTCCTTCTGTTCTGCTTGGAGTGTGATTCACTGACAGAACCCGGGCACGCGCAGAGATTTTCTTTTGTTTATGCCAACACACAATGGCCACGCCCCTCTGAAGGCCGTGTTGGACTTTTATTCTTCCATCGTCACCCTCACTGCTGAAGGAGACTCGATGGTATCGGAGGAGACACTTGAAGGTTTAGGTACGACCGGCTTCCTTCTGCAAACCCTCTTTGGATCCATTTTGAGGATCGCATCCCCTTCGGATCGTGAGCCCGGCACCACCACCGAGTCTTTTGCTACCGCCACCACCGCCGACGAAGACGGCCGCCCCGTGGTGATGGTTGTCCCTTCCCAGGAAGGTGCTGCGTCGCCCGTTCCTACCACAGCTGCGCAGCTTCCCACCTTGTCAAAACCGCAGCAAAATCAACAAACTTCACCAGATAGCCTCACTTCTGCCACAGATTCCGCCCAACAGCAAACTTCCTCTACGTCAAAAACAACAACATCATCATCAGGAACCGCGACGACCGCGACAATAACGCAGGCTGTGATACCCATCTCTCCTCCAGGCTTTTCAGGTACCAGCGCCAACATGAACAATATGAACATGGAGGCAGCGGTGCTGCAGGCGTGCATCGAGGCCGGAAACGAGAAGCGCACAGGCATCCTCCGAAGACTCCCCGGCGTCGGCACCTCTCAAGCGAACCAGGTCACAGACAGCAGCTCCGAGCAAGGCTCTAGCTCAGATGCAACTGTAGCACCCAAGACCAAGAGACTGACTGACTTCGCCCCTGATCCAGGTTACTTTATCGCAGGTGCCGTCGCTGGAGGACTATCGCGGACTGCCACCGCTCCTCTCGATCGTCTCAAGGTCTACCTGCTCGTCAACACCCGAGCCAGTACCGAGACTGCGGCCTCTGCTCTGAAGCAGGGACGTCCGCTGGCTGCTCTGAACAACGCTGTGCGGCCCTTTAGTGATGCCGTCAAGGATCTCTGGAAGGCAGGTGGCATGCGGAGTCTTTTTGCAGGTGCGTTCATGCTTATGCTCATACTCATGCTTATATATGCACTCATGGATGTCAGCTGCTACTGGCTCATGGTTTCATCTGTCTTGTACTCCCTAGATTGGAAGATGATTGGCCAATTCAAACCGAGCAACTCCTTGAATCATGTACTGACTGTCCAAGGCAACGGACTCAATGTCATCAAGATCATGCCCGAGAGCGCCATCAAGTTCGGATCCTATGAGGCCGCAAAGCGAACCCTTTCTAAGTTCGAGGGACACAACGACCCCAGACAGATCAGCAGCACCTCAAAATTCGTGGCGGGAGGTGTAGCTGGCATGGTTGCCCAGTACGTCGTTTTTCTATAACACTCCTCCGAGCTCGCCTCATTTGCTTTGGCCGCTGTCATCTCTATTATTGTTCACGGAGCTGCCGTCTCTCTCCCCCTCTCTATATCTCTCTCTTGTCGCATTGACTCGCTGCTGACGTCCCGTAGATTCTGTGTATACCCGCTCGATACACTCAAGTTCCGGCTCCAGACGTCGACGGTCCAGGGCGGCCTCAGTGGCAATGCACTTGTTATCGATACTGCCAAGAAGATGTGGCAGGCAGGAGGCATGCGCATTGCTTATCGTGGTGTCACCATGGGCCTCATGGGCATGTTTCCCTACAGTGCCATTGACATGGGCACATTTGAGTTCCTCAAATCCTCATACAAGAGATACATGGCCAAGTACAAGGGCATTCACGAGGAGGATGCCAAGCCGGGCAACATCATGACTGGTCTCATAGGAGCGACCAGTGGTGCTTTCGGAGCGTCAGTGGTGTACCCACTCAATGTCCTCCGCACCCGTCTCCAGACGCAGGGAACAGTCATGCACCCTGCAACATATACCGGCATCGTGGATGTCGCACGGCAGACGTTCAAGAATGAGGGTGTGCGGGGCATGTACAAGGGACTCACGCCTAACCTGCTCAAGGTTGCTCCGGCCCTGAGCATCACATGGGTTGTGTATGAGAACTCGAAGAGAATTCTCGGTTTGGAGTGAAGAGACAAAGACACTTTGGGGTGAAGATTGAAGTGGTCAATGGAAGGGAGTGGATTTTACTACAAGACGTCAAAGGGACACTGAAAAGCCAGGAGGTATGTTGTTGGGTTTCTCATTTGAATTGTGTAGGAAGACGAAGATTTTTGGAAGGCGACATGCGATCGCCTACGGCTAGCTTAAGAAGAGCGGCACACTCTATTTTGTTACATAGCCCCGTCGTCAATGGCGTTTGGAAGACGTGGTCAGGGAGAGAAAGAGAGAGATACCAGAGAAGACTTTTGCTCGCTGCAAGGGTGGATGGAACCAGGCTGGCGGTAGCTGGCGGTAGCTGGCGGTAGCTTAGCTGCGCGGCGGATACGGCAGCGGGAAGCCCCAGAGATGTTTGCTCAATACAGACGAATGCCTGCATACAAGTGGTTGCTTGCCACGTGGGAATGATGCCTTGCAGTGAGGTTATCGTGAGAGTAATGATGGAGGGCCTGTCTATATGTACTGTCTATATGTACTGGTCGTCATGTATAGGAGCCCCAGGTAAACGTCGCAGAGCCCGCCAACTTCACTGAAACCCCAACATCTCCCAATGAGTGCCATCTTTGATTTGTGATACGAAGACGGAAGAAAAAAAAAGTAGAAGAAGGAAAAAAGCTTCAAAAATTGGTTGACGTATGCCTCGAGACAGAATGGAACGTCGTCTGGTTTGCCAAGCTGGCCTAAGGAAAAGAAGCTTACGTCGCGATCGTCGTCACCCCGCGTCCACACTGAACCCCGTTGGAGGGGTTGGATACGACAAGAACATCCACTATGAAGAAGCTTGATTGATGGGCAGGCTCCAGTCAATATGCAGAGAGACGACTGTGATTCGTAACCCAACGACGAAGAACGATGATATCCTGGTTCGAACTTCGGAGGGACTAGCCGAGGCTGGTAGGGGTGACTTGGATAAGCAGCGGAGGGGGGGAGATACTGGAAGGAACTTTGTGTATTGCGAGCCAATTGCGTGGGTTGAATGTACCTTGAAATACTTTGCCTATCTACGGATACGTACCTCCGTACTGTAAGGTAAGGTAGACGTTAGACTCGGGGGACTTTTGTCGGTGTAAGATCGGGTCAATATTGCTCCACTTACTCTTAGAGGTTGACGGTCAACGGTTGACAGTTGACGGTTGACTGATGGATGACTCTTTCCCCCCCAAAGTCCAATCTTTTGAAGCTTGTCAGATTGCGCACCCAACTTTATTCAGTCACCTCACATCGACAAGCACACATGTCACCCACGGCCATCCTTGCTGGGCGAAGGAACTTGTGCTCGTCTTACTTTCGCTACCTTCTTCTCCACTCGACGGCCGTTATCCAATCATCTCAATTGACTTTTTCTTTCTTTCCAACCATTACACCCGGCGGCGCGGCATCCCTCGTACTTTTAGGTTCCCCACCATCCTTAACGAGCTTCCTGTTTCGTTTGGCTGCACAATAAGCGTGTCACGCAAGCAATGCTGCAAAAGAGTCAAGAGGCCATGGACTTGGTGTCTAGGTCACTACAAAGGAGGAGACTCCGCGATAATACCTTGCGGATACTGCAGGACTGACTAGGTGCCAGGGCTGGTAGCAGATCAAGTCCCCGACACCGCCGTCGTCCGCGATGCCGGTACTCGGTCTCATATCATTTGCCCTGATCTGCAGGCTTACGAGTCTGCCCCCCCTCTTTCGCGATGTCGAGTGAATCCTTCCACCGTATCGGGTGCAGGCCCGCCGGGGACGGCGTGCGGGCAGCGGCGTCTGCCTCGTTCAACGCTCGTCTTGCGTCTTCGGCGACCCGACCGGGTTCGGTCTTGTGGATTCTGATTGCAGTTCGTTCGTGCATCCGTAGGTGGTTGGGGGTTCCCTCTCAGTCTCTCTCTCTCTCTCTCTCTCTGTGAGTATCTGCGAGGTTGTCTCAATCTCGGCTCCGACTCAACTCCTACTAGCCTCTTTCTGTGAAGCCATTCCTGACAATCCCATTCAACTCCATCTTTTTCTCTCCCTCTCTCTTCTTCGTTCCTCTCTTGCGGTATCCGTAACTTTCCCTTCTATTCTCCCATCGTACCCCCTCCGGCTTACCTCAATCGAGCGTGAACGCGCACTTCTTCGTGGCCCTGACTTGTGTCCTCCTTCCTATTACCACTCATCTTACGACTGCGCGCGTGTCTCTTCTGTTGTCATTGACAAGGTGCAATCATCTATTGACACGCGAGAGAGATACTTCACTCATACATTGTTTGATCAGTCAGCCAACAGCTACGGCATTACTCACGGTCACGGAAGGGGTGCTGAAGCCTGAAGCAAACGAAAGCCCCGTCACCGAAACTGTTTGACTCCGTTTCTTGGCGTCCGTTCTACCCGTTGCCCACGACACTGCGCGTATCAGCCAAGTCCCCTTCACGATTCAGTCGCTGTCACTTGCTGTCACTGTTTGGCCTGCCAGACTGCCACCGTCTACCCCGTCAGAGACACAGAGTGCCTTGTCTTCAGGGGCAAAGCTCAAACATTAAGTGACCCGGCATTAAGAAACAGAACCACCAAACGAAGGCAACAAAACGTTATACCTACTCTAAAACGGTTGTATCCCACAGAGCACAGACAATCCCCCCCAAGGACCCCAAGGACCCGAAGGGGACTTTGTAAGAAGACCAAAAAGAAGGGATCAGAGGGACTGAAATAGTAACAAACCGCCGCCATGCCGGCCCCGTATTCCGATAACCTGTACTCCGCCGACGACTCCGACTTTGACGAAGTCCCGGACGACAGTCTCGACGCCCACCTCTCGCCAACTGACGGCTACTTCCAAAGCAGCACTTCATTGTCAGCCGGGGGAATATACCCTCCGCAGCAGCAAGAGTCTCATTTCCACAACAGCGAGGACAACGTCACTGACGCGACGACGTTCCCCACGTCCGCCGCCGTACCGCATGTGCCCAACGTCCTCGTCCAGGATCCGTCGCTGCTGCAGAGAGAGCAACAAGAACAAGGCTCCTCGTCGTCAAAGAAGGACCGCGAAGCCAAGGAAGAGACAAGATTAAACACATCCTTCCATGACCACCACGACAACAACAACGACGACAACGTAGAAGCACAATCACGTCACTACTCCTCAATACATAGGAGGACCTCGTCATCCGTCTCGGCCATTGACGACTTTTACGACGACGGGGCCTCCTCTACCGCTGCGGACAGTGAGGCGACGCCATCACATACAACCTACACCTCCAACGTCCACTCCCATTCCCACTCTCACTCACACTCCCACGCTGCCCAGAGTTCGTCGTCTTATACGCCTTACTCGCCCTCCACCGACGCTCCACTGCGCACGCCCCAGACTCACTCGAGATACTCCTCCAACAACAACCCGGCCTCTCTGTTTCGCATCCCCAGCGAGGCACCACCCGCCTATACGCCATCGCCCACGTCCCCGCTCTCGTCATCACCCACAGAGTTTAGAAACTACCAGACCTTCAACACCATCTCGAGGACGACCGACAACCACCACAACAACATCAACATGGGCGCACCCGAAGAAGAGAGGCGCCTGCTCGGCCGCGACCCTGAGAGCATGGGCGACGTGCCCTATGATGACCATGACGACGACCATGACCCTAGACCTCCGCCGTCGTGGAAGGACAGAGCTCTTAAGAAGTTCCCTTGGGCCTCGAGACGGACGCTGAAGATGGTGCTACTTGCTGCCTTGGTCTTCTTCACCTTGACGGGATTCCTCAGCATGTTGGCCTCGACTGTGATTAATGCGGTGCGTCGCAACTCCCTTCTACATCTACGCCTACTACCTTTACATGAAGCTAACTAACAACCCGTAGCCATCTGAAAAGTCTCCTGCCAAGGAGCCTCCCCAGCAATATGATCCCGTCACTGGACTGCCCATCAAAGACGGATCTCCCGTGCCAAGTGACCCCTCCAAACCCGCCGAGCCTGGCGAAGCCGTCCCTTGGCATCCATCGAGCACATGCCTCCAAACCGAGCACCGCTTCGAACCCAAATTCTTTGACCTCACCTTTGCCGCAGACAAGGACATCAGCGTCCTCCAGGCCGTCGAGAACGACTCCCCCTCCCGCGGCTACCAGCCCCAGGTCTCGGGCGACTTTGTGATCCGCCGCCAGCAGGCCGGCCGCCCCGGTCCCTCGATCGAGCTCGAGGTCGTCTCCAACGACCCGGCCCTAGACGTCTCCGTCGAGTGGAACTCGGAGCAGCAGCTCATCGTCCGCACCCCGCAGCGCATCGAATGGACCCAGTCCCGCCGGCCCTGCATGACCGTCCGCGCGACCGTCTGGGTCCCCGAGGGCGCCTCCCTCCGCCACGTCCTCCTCATGGCCATGAACCTCGACGTCCTCGTCGTCGATGACCTCTCCGTCAACCTCGCAGACGGCCTCGAGATCGGCACAATGTCCGGCGACGTCCACTCCCCCGTCGAGGTCCCATCCACATACCACCTCAACTCCCGCGATATCCTCGTAAAGACCATCTCGGGCGACATCGTCGGCTCCTGGCCCCTCTACGACTCCCTTAAAATCAACTCCGAGTCGGGCGACATCATCACAAACGTCTGGCCCCGACAAGTCCTCGACACCCGCCCCCGCCCGGCCGTCCTCGAAGTCGCCACCATCTCGGGCGACATCACCGTAAAAGAACCCCTCGCCGCCGCGGCGGAGAGCAGCAAACCCGACACCGTCGTCCCGCCGCGCGACTACATCACCACCATCGACACCAAGTCCGGCTCCATCAAGGCCTGGGTCGCCTTCTCGTCCGCCGCCGTCGCCGAGAGCATCAGCGGCGACATCGCCGCCGAGTTCCTGCCCGTCTACAACGTCAGCCTCCTCCAGGCCGTCGCGGAGCCCGAGCTGCACACAAAGACAAAGTCCGGCAACACTGCCGTGAAAATTCTCGAGCCCATCTGGGTCGAGATCCTCGGCACCGAGGGCGCGTATGAAGGCGAGAAGCCGCGCGCGAACCCGGAT